GAACTTTTTGGCCGGAATGAGCAAAGGTACGTTTGGAGAAGAAGGGGCACAGAATTTAATGAAAAGAACCTCTGTCCAACTGTTAAGCATGGGGTTGGATCAATCATGCTTTGGGGTTGTGTTGCAGCCAGTGGCACAGGGAACATCTCACGAGTAGAAGGAAAAATGGATTCAATAAAATTTCAGCAAATTTTGGATGGTAACTTGATGCCATCTGTGAAAAAGCTGAAGTTAAAGAGAGGATGGCTTCTACAAATGGATAATGATCCTAAACACACCTCAAAATCCACGGGGGATTACATCAAGAGGCGTAAACTGAAGGTTTTGCCATGGCCTTCACAATCTCCTGACCTCAACATAATTGAAAATCAATGGATAGACCTTAAAAAAGCAGTGCGTGACAGACAGCCCAGAAATCTCAAAGAACTGGAAGACTTTTGTAAGGAAGAATGGGCAAATGATACCTCAAACAAGAATTGAAAGACTCTTGGCTGGCTACAAAAGCGTTTACAAGCTGTGATACTTGCCAAAGGGGGCAGTACAAGATATTTAACTCTGCAGGGTGCCCAAACTTTTGCAGACGCCATTTTTTTTTGTTTTCTGTTATTTTGAAAGTGTAAATGATGGAAATAAAATCTAACTTTTTGTTGACATATTATAAGAATGTCTAATCTGTAATTTGATGCCTTTTGGAGATTTTTCCATCTTTCCTTGGATTCTTTATGCACATTAATACAAATTTTTAGCTGGGGTGCCCAAACTTTCCATCCCCACTGTGTGTGTATATGTATGTATATATATATATGTATATATATATATATATATATATATATATATATATATATATATATATATATATATATATATATATATATATACACACACACACACACATAAATACACACACATTAGAAAATTGATCAATCCTGATGTATCGACGGCCTATCTTATTTCTTGAGGCCCAGAAATGCCAGGATAGTACAAATACCCCCCTTTTCGGAAAGCAAAGATGTCAATTAAGATATTTTTTCACACGCAGATAGGCGTACTTAGAATTACACCCCAAAACACATTCTGCGACTCCTCCTGGGTATGGCAATACCACATGCGTGAGACTTTTCCACTTTTTGGACTGATCATATACTTGACACTGTATCTTCTGTATCACACAAATCAACCAATTTTATAAAAAGCAATATACTGTAATGGCCGCCTCTATGCAAGAGGTCAAGGAAAATAGCTTAGTGTAGCATCACCTATAGCAGTCCTGGCTCCATTAAACCAAGCAAGCCTAGTGTACTGATACATGGCTGCCCCAAAGAATGCCATGCTCACTGGCCTGGTTTCTCACAGCAACGTAGTCAGGGAGTGTGCAGATGGGTCAGTTCAGACCACAGGCGGACACAGGGTCAGCAAACAGGCAAAAGGCTGGTCTGGGCAGTAGAGAGAAATGTGGTCAACAAACAGGCCAGGGTTAGTACAGGCAGTAGGCAGAGGGCAACACTGCACTGTTGTGGGGGTGATTAGGGACACTGTAACTGGTGCAGCAGTGATCAGAAACAATGTAACTGGTAAGGCGGTGAACAGGGACAATGTAACTGGTGTGGTGGTGATTAGGGACAATATGACTGGTGTGGCAGTGATCAGGGACACTGATTGGTTAGTGGTGATTAGTGACACTGAGTGGACAGCAGTGATTAGGGATACTGACCAAAGATAATGACTGGCAGAACTGACGTACAGTGATATCAGAGCAGCCAGCCATTGTACATAATCACCACAACAGTACAATATTGTCAACGTAGATTTTTTTTTTTAATTTACATATTGTATTGTCACCAGAGCAGTGCACTGTCACCATATGACATTGTACTACTTTTTTTTTGGGGGGGGGGGGGGGGGGGGCGGCTGTCATTAGGAATTTTTTTTTTTACACTTTGATTGCTTATTACAGTAATGATCACTGTATAAGCAATTTTTCCCCCATAAATTATAGTGGGCAATCAAAGTTTCTTACCTTAGTTTCCCGGCCCATCATGTACTCGAACATTACTTTTCTCAAATACTCAAATTCAGTAGGCTCACCGAACAGATTGATGTCAGTATGTCGATGATTCTCATCTGAAAAAAATACAAAGATCATTAAAAAAAACCATAATACCAAGTTTAGTGATATCATCAAAAGGTTGGATTTCTTCATCCAATTAAAAATCTAACAAATAGCATATAAACTGCTCAGTTTGTTTTTTCACTCGCAAATAAGTTGCAGATTTTGACATTACTTTGTTGGACAATAATACAATTTCTTCCAAAAAAACACAAAAGTAGAGCTGCATTTCCAAATGCCTGGGGTATGACGCTGTTTAAAAGTAAAGTTTAAAAAAAGCACATTCATTGGAGTTTTCCTAATATAGCAGTACATGGACAATAGAAAAAAAAAAACAATATGTAATCTCAGAGCAGGAATTAGGTCTCTTAGATACCTAAATGAGATGAGGGGAATATCACCTGCTGCTAGCATAGAATGCAACATCTTAGTGTATCTAAACCAAAGAAGAAAAATGTAATACATTGCAGCTTATCATTCCTTAGATGTGGTTGCTGCATTAATTTCCTTTTTTTTGTTCCAGACCTTTTAAAATGTATTTTTGCCAGGTGATCCTGTCGGTGACATACTTCACGTCTCAGGGTGGACAACGCTTACTTACGGTACTGAGGGAGTATTAACCTAGTACAGGAAGTGTGTTAGAATTATAAAACACCTCCATATCTTTACATTTCTATATTATTGTGGGGGATGTTGGAGTTCACAGAATCGAATCAGGTAAGGCTGATATTACTATATAATATCTTATAGAACACTACAAAGTGCACAGGACAGGATCACTTTTTTTTTTTATTTTGCACTGAACAAGCAGAAAATAAATATATTTCTATTAATATATTTAACCAATTTAAAGATGAATAGCTAAAAACACCCTGCAGGTAGCAGAGGCGCACAGGTCACTGTAAAAATATGTATGAGAGAGCCATCAATTTCATGAAAGGGTAAGCTTAATAACCCATATATCAGGACTGTGGCTAGTCCCCCCCTTCAGACATGTGGGGATAGACACAGGCTCTACAGTGATAAAGAATGTTGGCAGATTGAGAGTGAATTGGATGGTACACATGTAAATAATCCTAGAATTAAAACTCAGTATTTAGTCAGGGTTCAAACTATATACGAAAATGTGTGAGAGAACAATCTGTAAAAACGTATTTTAAATAAGTTTGAGAATATCTTGAAATAATATACGCATAGCACAGGTCAGAAAAATGTAAATATTAGAAATACAAAGACAAAACACTTATCAAACAGATATAAAAATGTACAGTTGTGACCAAAATTATTCAACCCCCAATGCTGTAAAGGGGTTTAGGGACTATAGTGTACATTTGGAATTGTATTCAGAATCAAATCCTACAAGGACGTTGTAACTACCCAAATGCAACTAAAATGACATCAATTGTTTTATGTAATACAGTAGTAAATGGTTCTTATGTGGTTTCTTCATTGCCACAATTCCATCAGGTATTGAAAACACCTGTGGATGTCACCGAGCAGCAATCAAGCATAATAAGCACCAATTAGGCAGCTTTAAAATGACTGTGATACTCAGCTCCTTCTAGACATTTACTGGTGTGGTTACAAACATGGTGAAGGCAAGAGAATGGTCCAGGAAGACAAGAGAAGAGGTGATTTCTCTTCACAGGAAGGGCAATGGCTATAAGAAGATTGCAAAGATGTTAAACATACCAAGAGACACCTTAGGAAGCATCATTCGCAAATTCAAGGCAAAGGGCACTGTTGAAACGCTACCTGGTCGTGGCAGAAAGAAGATGCTGACTTCGACTGCTGTGCGCTACCTGAAGCGTAGAGTGGAGAGAAGTCCCCGTGTGACTGCTGAGGAACTGAGAAAAGATTTGTCAGATGTGGGTACAGAAGTTTCAGCCCAGACAATAAGACGCACACTGCGTAATGAAGGCCTCCGTGCCAGAACTCCCAGGCGTACCCCCTTGCTGTCTCCAAAGAATAAGAAGAGTCGACTGCAGTATGCCAAAAGCCATGTGGACAAACCACAAAAAGTTGTGGGATAGTGTTCTGTGGACTGATGAAACAAAATTAGAACTGTTTGGGCCCATGGATCAACGCTATGTTTGGAGGAGGAAGAACAAGGCCTATGATGAAAAGAACACCTTGCCTACTGTGAAGCATGGTGGAGGGTCAATCATGCTTTGGGGCTGTTTTGCTTCTGCAGGTACAGGGAAGCTTCAGCGTGTGCAAGGTACCATGAATTCTCTTCAGTACCAGGAGATATTGGATGGAAACGTGATGCAGTCCGTCACACACCTGAGGCTTGGGAGACGTTGGACCTTTCAACAGGACAATGATCCCAAGCATACCTCCAAGTCCACTAGAGCATGGTTGCAGAGGAAAGGCTGGAACATTTTGGAGTGGCCATCGCAGTCACCAGACTTAAATCCGATTGAGAACCTCTGGTGGGACTTAAAGAAAGCAGTTGCAGTGCGCAAGCCTAAGAATGTGACTGAACTGGAGGCCTTTGCCCATGAAGAATGGGCGAAGATACCCGTAGATCGCTGCAAGACACTTGTGTCAAGCTATGCTTCACGTTTAAAAGCTGTTATAACTGTAAAAGGATGCTGTACTAAGTACTAAGATTGAATGTCACTTGGGGGTTGAATAAAACTGATAATGCTGTGAGCACAGAAAAGACATTTGTGGGTTATTTCATTATAACTGTTATGTTATATTTGTCTGACCTACAAGTGCCTCTTTAATGTAAATGTAAGCAAGATGACTGAATGATCAAAAGCAATGTCAAACTGGCCAAAACACTCAATTTCAGTGGGGGTTGAATAATTTTGGTCACTACTTACACTTTAAATCAGTGATTAACCTCCCTGGCGGTATTTCCTGAGTGTAGCTCGGGGTAAAGTTTCAGTACCAAAAGCGGTAACCCCGAGCTACACTCAGGCTTACCATGCGGCGTTGCTCAGGATTCCCTGCAGCACTTACCTTGTCCTTCGCTCCCGCGATGTGTCCCCTGCAGCGTCCCCGGCCATCTCCTCCGGCCGATGCCGGCATCCGGGCTTCTGTTGTTCTGGTCCCTGTGACGTCGGGATGTACGGCGCCTGGAACCGGCGGCAAATTTGAAATTTTTTTAAAAATGTCATTATTTTTTAAATGATTATTACATAGTAGTAAAACATTGCTGTTTCAATGCATTTCACACACATTTTGTCCCGAGTGCTTTGTCTGGCGCCCTGCCTGCATTTTGACGTTCTTTCTGCCTGGAAAACTTAGAAAAGTCCATGGCATCCAAAAAGCGTCCCTTTAGGTCAAAAGCGGTTTTAGACCGGCTAGAGAACAGCGATAGTATCATTCAAACCACTTGCAGAATTGAGTGATAAAGATTCGTGGGGGAAATTCCGTCATCAGACACTGAAAACGATTTTGCGACTTTGCTCAGCGATGTGCGAATTTGCCTCTGTATTTCAAATTTCAGTGTTTTTTTGGTTTGATATATATTATTGAATTAAAACTATTATTATTATTATATATTATTTTTTATGATTATTTATTAAATTATAATTTATGATTTCGTGTTTCAAGTTTTATCCTATCCGGGATGTTTACTAAGACTCTTGTTCGGACAGATTTCAGTGAGTTATTCCTAAAAAATTACAGCCTACAATAAAAAACTACATATTTCCATGCATAAAAAAAAAAATGGTACCGCTTTCAGCACAAAAAAAATCGGAAATAATCATAACCGCCGAGGTTGTTAAAAAAAAAAATGTCATAACGGAGTGCTGGGCAATTTATATTATTAAGTCTATTGTAATTTTCAAAAAAAACAGAAAGTCATGTAACGTAACTGCCTTGAAATAAAAGTTTATTAAAATATAAAGATTTTATATCAGCATTTGTAAATGAAAACAGTATATAAATACCTAAACATAAAAAAAAAAACAAAACAAAAAAACAAAAAAACCTCAAAACGGTCATACGTCAAAGATTTGCAAAAGCAACGGTAGTTTGTATCATGAATGCAAAAGCAGCTTGAAGCAGGCTGATGCGGCATAGAAAACTCTCAAACTGTTGCTGGGTTAAGAAGCCTCTATCTTTATATGCAATTGTAATGCACCAGGTGGCCAAACTGCATTTAGCCATCATCACAAGCCCTAAAGATACTTCGATGCCTATTTAAAAGCTGAAAAAACGTGCAAAAAAAAGCAGTTGGTGTGTTTCCACCCACTACACGAATATTTGCCCCTGTTGAAAGCAAACATGTCAGCAGATTTCTTGACATATGACAGGACTTCTAGCCACACCCATTTCTGGCACACACTTGATGTTTTTAAAATTAAAGATTAAGATACTCGTGTGTTTTTTTTTAACCTTTATAGGAAGTGCCAAGAGGAGTAACAAAAAACACCACGTGAGTACTTTTTTAACTGGTCTTCCAAAACAATAACCTGTAAAGAAAATAAAGTTCAGGCTCAATAAAAGGGTAAACTACTCTAAAAATCTATCTAAAAAATATATGATTACATGGCTTAAGTTGTAATATCATATACAGTACAGTACAAACGTCTTTTACTTTTTTAAATTTTGAGGTATATAGTATAAAATCCTACATGAGCCAAATTAGAATGGGGAAACCATAAGCAGTGTTTAACCGCTTCCATACCGGGCACTTTTACCCCCTTCCTGCCCAGGCCAATTTTCATGTTTTAGCGCTCTACCACACTTTGATGACAATTGCCGCGGTCATACAACATTGTACCCAAACTAAAATTTTATTATTTTGTTCACACAACTAGAGCTTCTTTTGGTGCTATTTAATCACCGCCGGGGTTTTTATTTTTTGCTAAATTAACAAAAAAAGAAGATTGAAAATTTAGGAAAAAAAAACATGTTTTTTGTTATAAACTTTGCAAATAAATAATTGTTTCTTCATAAATTTAGGCCAAGATGTATTCTGCTACATTTCTTGGTGAAATAACCCAAATCAGTAGTTATTAGTCTGTAGTGGAAAGTTTATAGAGTTCACAAACTATGGGATATATCTGAAAATTGATCAATCCTGAAGTACTGACGGCCAATCTCATTTCTTGAGGTCCAAGAATGTCAGAACAGTACAGATATCCTCCAAATGACCCCTTTTTTGCAAATAGACAGTCCGACGTACTTCATAAGAGGCATGGCGAGTTTTTTGAATTTGTAATCACCATCACAGTGCAGTACAGCGTCATCATATAACTGGTGTGGCGGTGATCAGGGACACTGACTGGTGACAGTATGAGAAAAAAAAATATTTTTTTTTTTCCAAGTTTTTCTATTTTTTTTTTGAATTATTTTTTATTAATTTGTTTCTCTTTAAGAATTTTTTTTTTTTCATATTACACTATGACCACCAAAGTAGTATAATGTTACCATAGTAACAATGTACTACTTTGGGGAAGTGATCAGTATTTTGATTGTAATTCGATTGATTATAGCAAAGAATTTATTTGCTATAAGCAAGCATTTAACTGAATGAAATCGATTCATTCAAGTTTTTTTTATTGTGATTAGCTGTGATTGGCCATGGCTAATCACATGACACAGATGGGCTTTGACTGGCCCAGCCTGTGCATGTGATCACACTTGCTATACAATGGATGGCATGAAAGGAAGCCATCCATTGTATATAACTGTCATGTGACCTGTGTGATTGGTCACAGCAGGTCACATGGTACGGGCAAAGGTGTCGGTACACAAATATGTCATCGTCGTGTCCGAGGTACACAGCCGGTTTACAGATCTCGCCACAACGCGGCCCTGCGGGCATGCGCGTTCCAGGAAGAACGCCATATGGTGTCCTACCGGAGGGACGAAGTGTTCACCCGCCCCCATTTGGCCATAGACCGAGTGGCAACTGGTTAAGGCTGTTTTCACACTGGTCAGTTTTTGTTCATTTTTTCAGTAAAGAAAAAAAAAGTGGAAGAAAAGCAAAAGAAAAATGCATCCCTTTAAATTGAACTATTTACACCTGAACAAAAGCATCAAAAACAGATCCATCTGAAATGCCCACTTAAACACGCACCAAACTTGTGCCAAAAATGCAGCAAGCAGGGCTTTTAAAAACGCAACTGACCAGTGTGAAGAGTTCCATAGAATTTAAAAGGATACACTTTTTCTTCCTCTTTTCTTCCCACTTCACTGATACGTTTTTAATGTGCTTTTGTTCAGGGTAGAAGAGATCCATTTAAAGGGATGCAGTTTTCTTCCACTTTTCTCCCCCCACCCGCACTTTTTTATTTTTTTTTTTAAACTGAACAAGTGAACAAAAACTGATGTAGGAAAGCAGCCTTATGGAAATCTCTTATACATTCAGTCATCTTGCTTACATTTACATTAAAGAGGCACTTGTAGGTCAGACAAAATATAACATAACAGTTATAATGAAATAACCACAAATGTCTTTTCTGTGCTCACAGCATTATCAGTTTTATTCAACCCCCAAGTGACATTCAATCTTAGTACTTAGTACAGCATCCTTTTACAGTTATAACAGCTTTTAAACGTGAAGCATAGCTTGACACAAGTGTCTTGCAGCGATCTACGGGTATCTTCGCCCATTCTTCATGGGCAAAGGCCTCCAGTTCAGTCACATTCTTAGGCTTGCGCACTGCAACTGCTTTCTTTAAGTCCCACCAGAGGTTCTCAATCGGATTTAAGTCTGGTGACTGCGATGGCCACTCCAAAATGTTCCAGCCTTTCCTCTGCAACCATGCTCTAGTGGACTTGGAGGTATGCTTGGGATCATTGTCCTGTTGAAAGGTCCAACGTCTCCCAAGCCTCAGGTGTGTGACGGACTGCATCACGTTTCCATCCAATATCTCCTGGTACTGAAGAGAATTCATGGTACCTTGCACACGCTGAAGCTTCCCTGTACCTGCAGAAGCAAAACAGCCCCAAAGCATGATTGACCCTCCACCATGCTTCACAGTAGGCAAGGTGTGTTCTTTTCATCATAGGCCTTGTTCTTCCTCCTCCAAACATAGCGTTGATCCATGGGCCCAAACAGTTCTAATTTTGTTTCATCAGTCCACAGAACACTATCCCACAACTTTTGTGGTTTGTCCACATGGCTTTTGGCATACTGCAGTCGACTCTTCTTATTCTTTGGAGACAGCAAGGGGGTACGCCTGGGAGTTCTGGCACGGAGGCCTTCATTACGCAGTGTGCGTCTTATTGTCTGGGCTGAAACTTCTGTACCCACATCTGACAAATCTTTTCTCAGTTCCTCAGCAGTCACACGGGGACTTCTCTCCACTCTACGCTTCAGGTAGCGCACAGCAGTCGAAGTCAGCATCTTCTTTCTGCCACGACCAGGTAGCGTTTCAACAGTGCCCTTTGCCTTGAATTTGCGAATGATGCTTCCTAAGGTGTCTCTTGGTATGTTTAACATCTTTGCAATCTTCTTATAGCCATTCCCCTTCCTGTGAAGAGAAATCACCTCTTCTCTTGTCTTCCTGGACCATTCTCTTGCTTCACCATGTTTGTAACCACACCAGTAAATGTCTAGAAGGAGCTGAGTATCACAGTCATTTTAAAGCTGCCTAATTGGTGCTTATTATGCTTGATTGCTGCTCGGTGACATCCACAGGTGTTTTCAATACCTGATGGAAAGCACCTGTATGAACCTCTGTTCTTCAGAGTGGTAGTCTTTAAGGGGTTGAATAATTGTGGCAATGAAGAAACCACATAAGAACCATTTACTACTGTATTACATAAACAATTGATGTCATTTTTAGTTGCATCTCTCCTTCAGTGTTACCTATAACGCTACCACCTCCCCCTCTCTGTTGGGGTCCCCTAAGGCTCTGTCCTTGGGCCCCTTCTCTTCTCCATCTACACCTCCTCCCTTGGCCAACTGATACACTCCCACGGCTTCAACTATCAACCTCTATGCTGATGACACGCAAATTTACCTCTCCACCCCTCACCTCACCCCTTCAGTCTCTGCCCGTATCACCCACCTACTGAATGACATATCAGACTGGATGTGGCTCCACTTCCTCAAACTGAACCTTTCAAAAACCAAGCTCCTAAATTTTCCCCCCACCCCCCCCATCCCCGCGCCCCCCCCCCCCCCAACCCTCTCCATCACGACCAACAACGCCACCATCAGTCCACCCCACAAGCCAAAGTCCTAGGTGTCACTCTAGATTCAAACCTGTCCTTCCAACCCCATGTCCAATCGCTAGCAAGCTCATGCAGGCTCCACCTCCACAAAAA